CAGCAGCAGCAGCAGCAGCAGCAGCAGCAGCAGCAGCAGCAGCAGCAGAAGCAGAAGCGCTTCAAGGAGGCCCCTTCCCCCGCAAGTTTCAACTGGCTGGAAGCAGCAAATGCTGTTTTGCTGCAGCAGCCTCAAAAGCGCATGCATTGGAAGAAACTGGCGAAGGCCGTGAGGGTTTAGGGTTTAGGGTTTAGGGTTTAGGGTTTGGGAGCTTCGGCATGAGTGTTCAGCGCAGCGCGCTGCTGCTGCTGCTGTTTGAGCTGCTGCCGCTGCTGCTGCTGCTTGAGCTGCTGCCGCTGCTGCGGGTCCCTACGGTGCTGCTGCTGCTGCCTATGATGCTGCTGCTGCTGCATAGGCTGCTGCTGCTGCTGCTGCTGCTGCTGCTGCTGCTGCAGGTAGTTCAGCGCTATAAGAGTTGCGGAGGCGATGTGGGGCCCTCGGAGAAGGCCCTGCAGCAGCAGTGCCTCGCGGAAGTCAGCAAGCTGCTGCTTCTGCTGCTGCTGCTGCTGCTGCTGCTGCTGCTGCTGCTGCTGCTGCAACGGCAGCAGTTTGACCAGCAGCAGCTGCGGCTGTTGGTCAAGCTGCTGCTGTTGCTGTTGCTGCGGCAGTTGCTGCAGCTGTTGCTGTTGTTGCTGCCGTGGCTGCTGCCAAGGTTGCTGCTGCTGCTGCTGCAGCAGCAACGCCCGCTGCTGTTGCTGCTGCTGCTGCAGCAGCTGCAGCAAGCTGCTTGCGCTGTGGTGTATTTGCAGGTCCCTCTGTCATACACCAGTTCTTCTTCGCCCTTTATTACTCTTCCCTAGGCCTCATTTGGAGGGTTTAGGGTTTAGGGTTTAGGGTTTAGGGTTTGCAATGCAGCGCTGCAGCGAGCATCAGAGCTCTTCCTGGTGCGTTCCTGCAGCAGCAGCAGCAGCAGCAGCAGCAGCAGCTGTTCGTGCTGCTGTGACGGCGGAGGCTGCAGCAGTAGCGGCTTTCTGTGCTGCTGCAGCATTGCTGCTGCTGCTGCTGCAACATCTGTTGCGCGGCTGCTGCAGCATAGTTGCTGCTGCTGTGCTGCTGCTGCAGCTTCGGTTGTACCGCTGCTGCAGCACACTTGCCGCTGCTGCTGCTGCTGCTGCTGCAGCACACTTGCTGCTGCTGCTGCTGCTGCTGCAGCGGGCCCCACAGTGGCTTTAGGCCCAAACTGTGAAACTTTTAATTACTTTTCCAAACCCCAGGGGTCTCTGGGGTATTTTCAAAATCATGTAGCGCTGAGGGTTTAGTTCAGGGTTTAGGGTTTAGGGTTTAGGGTTTAGGGTTTAGTGGGCCTGGGCTCCAGGGTTTAGGGTTTAGCGAGGCTTGCCTGCTTATTGCAGGTCTTTATCACTTTTAAAAGTGAAACGCGGCTAATTTATTTAGGGTTTTAGATTTAGGGTTTAGGGTTTAGGGTTTAAGGTTGAGGGCTTCGGGCTTAGGGTTTAGAATTTAGGGTTTAGGGTTTAGGGTTTGGGGCTTGGGGACGCCCCCAGCAGCGGTTCGGCAGGCTAGTAAAGAAGGAGCCAAAAGAGGCGAAACTGCGGCCTGTGCTTAGGGTTTAGGGTTTAGGGTTTAGGGTTTAGGGTTTAGGGTTTGGAGTTTAGAGTTTCTAGTTTGACATGTGCATCCCATCGCTCGCACGCCGAAGCCAACTCGAGGCTCCTCAGTCCTTCTACACAGGAAGGGTTTAGGGTTTAGGGTTTAGGGTTTAGGGTTTAGGGTTTAGGGTTTGGGGCTCATCTGCAGACTTTAGCATTTTTCTGGCTCCTGAAGTTTCGCTGCTGCTGCTGCTCGCTGGATTATGCGGCAGCACCATCGGCAGCAGCAGCAGCAGCATTTAGGGTTTAGTGGGCCTGGGCTCCAGGGTTTAGGGTTTAGCGAGGCTTGCCTGCTTATTGCAGGTCTTTATCACTTTTAAAAGTGAAACGCGGCTAATTTATTTAGGGTTTTAGATTTAGGGTTTAGGGTTTAGGGTTTAAGGTTGAGGGCTTCGGGCTTAGGGTTTAGAATTTAGGGTTTAGGGTTTAGGGTTTGGGGCTTGGGGACGCCCCCAGCAGCGGTTCGGCAGGCTAGTAAAGAAGGAGCCAAAAGAGGCGAAACTGCGGCCTGTGCTTAGGGTTTAGGGTTTAGGGTTTAGGGTTTAGGGTTTAGGGTTTGGAGTTTAGAGTTTCTAGTTTGACATGTGCATCCCATCGCTCGCACGCCGAAGCCAACTCGAGGCTCCTCAGTCCTTCTACACAGGAAGGGTTTAGGGTTTAGGGTTTAGGGTTTAGGGTTTAGGGTTTGGGGCTCATCTGCAGACTTTAGCATTTTTCTGGCTCCTGAAGTTTCGCTGCTGCTGCTGCTCGCTGGATTATGCGGCAGCACCATCGGCAGCAGCAGCAGCAGCAGCTGCTGCTGCTGCTGCTGCTGCTGCTGCTGGGGGAAGCCCTTTTGGGGCCTCTCTCAACTGCAGCAGCAGCAGCAGCTGATGAAGTCCAGGATGTGCAGCAGCAGCAGCAGCAGCAGCAGCAGCAGCACAGCCAGGGGACCCTTGCTGAAATCGGAGCTTCAGCAGCAGCAGCAGCAGCAGAAGGAGGAGGAGGAGGAGCAGCAGAAGGAGCAGCAGCAGCAGCAGCAGAGTCAGCAGCAGCAGCAGCAGCAGAGCCATCGACAGCTGCTGCAACTGTCAGCAACTCAGTGTCTTTCGGCCAAGATGCTGCAGCAGGAGTTCCGGATGAGCAGCAGCAGCAGCAACTGCAGCAGCAGCAGCAGCAGCAGCAGGAGCTGTCTGAGTTGCCTCCGCTGAAGCTTCAGCAAACGCAGCAGGAGCAGCAGCAGCAGCAGCAGCAGCAGCTGTCGAAGCTGCTGCAGCTGCAGCAGGAGCAGCAGCAATGGAAAGTGAAACAGCTAGAGCAGCAGCTGCAGCAGGTGCAGCAGCAGCAGCAGCATGAGCAGTGGCAGCAGCCCTCCAGCTCGCAGCTGCAGCAGCAGCTGCAGCAGGTACAGGCAATGCAGCAGCAGCTGCAGCAGCAGCAGGCCCTGCTGGAGCAGCAGCAGCAGCAGCTGCAGCAGCTGGAGCAGCAGCAGCAGCAACAGCAACTGCAGCAGCAGCAGCAGCAGCAGCAGCAGCAGGAGATGCCGCTGGGCCAGGCAGTCGTGCAGCTGCGAGACATGATAGAGAAGCAGCAGCAAATTGAGGCGCAGCAGCAGCTGCTGCAGCAGCTGCAGCTGCAGCAGCTGCAGCTGCTGCTGAATCACCAAGCCCCAGTCGGCGCCGTAACAGCAGCAGCAGCAACAGCAGCAGCAACAGCAGCAGCAGCAGCAGCTCAGGAGCAGCTCACTGTCAAAGACATACTAAAGCTGGCAAGGAATTCCCTCCAAGCCAGCAGCAGCAGCGCTGCTGCTGCTGCTGCTGCTGCAGCAGCAGCAGACGAAGACCCTGTGGGGTTGGAAGCAGCAGAAGCAGCAGAAGAGTCTTTGCAGAGGCAGCTGCTGCAGCTGTCAGCAGCAGCTGCTGCAAGCAGCAGCAGCAGCAGCAACGACTTCGAAAGCTACTGCAAGCAGGTCTTCTCGCGTGAAAGCCGCAGTCCAATCCGAGTAAACCCTAAACCCTAAACCCTAAACCCTAAACCCTAAACCCTAAACCCTACTTTGCTGCTGCAGCAGGTGTACGATTTGCGGCGTGGGCTGAGTGGAGCCTCTTAGGGTTTAGGGTTTAGGGTTTAGGGTTTAGGGTTTGCGTTCAGATAACGTTTGGAGACTCGGACGCGTTCGTGGGGGCCCCTGGGGGCCCCTCGCGTCTGCACACTTTCATTTTAAATCTGGAAGATTTGGAGCCGCTGCTGCAGCAAGCAGCAGCAGCAGCAGCAGCAGCAGCAGCAGCAGCAGCAGCAGCAGCACAGGCGCCTCTGATATCCTTCTACGCCACCGCTGACTCGCCGACGAGCGTCCGCAAGGGTTTAGGGTTTAGGGTTTAGGGTTTACGCCGAAGGGTTTGGTGTTGGGCGCTTCGCGTTAGGGCCTCTCCCCAAGGGTTTAGGGTTTAGGGTTTAGGGTTTAGGGTTTAGGGTTTGTGGTTTCTTCAGGCCCTGCGACTTCTGGTGGTTTCTATTCAACAAAACCCTTTTGCATGCAAACCCTTCCGCGACATTTCCGCTTCCGGGTGTATATACACCTACTTCTCCCCACAGGAACTCCAAACCCTCAAGGGGGCCCCCGGGGGGCCCCCCGGGGGGCCCCCCGGGGGCCCCCCAGGGGGGCCCCTCTGCAGAGGGACTCACTGGGGGCCCCCCTGGGGGGGCCCCTCTAGAGGG